AATGAGATAGCTGAATTCTCCCTTAGAGATAGTGTGCGAAGTTCAGTTATCTGGAGAAACTCAGAGTAGAGCCGCTGCTCCTCCACAGCAAGAGCAGTCAGTTGAGGTGGTTCAGACATCTGGTAAAGATAGGAAGCGCCCAGGCGCCCATGTCCAACCGGGACGAGACCCCCAGGAAGACCCAGGACACACTAGAGAGACTATGTCTCTTGGTTGGTCTGGGAACGCCTTGGAGTCCTCCCAGAAGAGCTGGAAGAGGAGGCTGTGGAAAGAGATGTCTGGGCCTCCCTGCTCAAGCTGCTGCCCCCATGACCCGACTTCAGAACAAGCAGAAGATGATGGATGGATGGATGGATGGATGGATGGATGGATGGATGGATGGATTCAACTAAATTAAAAAATCTTGAAACTAACCTAGACAGAAAGGACGGTTTGATCAAACTAAAACTAATTTGAACATAGCACCATACTAAACGTGGATGTGTGCCGTGCCATCAGCATCACAGATGTCTTCAATCTTTTGATCAGTCTGCATATTTAAAGGGTGAAAAGTGTGTTTGGTGTCACGGTGTGTCTCACACTGACCATGAACCACAGAAAACTAAGAACAGAGTCGTCTCGGGAGTTTAGAAAGAAAATTATTGTCTAGCTTGTTAAAGTAAAAGCCATAAAACCATCTCCAAGCAGCCTGGTGTTCCTGTGACTACAGCTGCACAGATTCTTCAGAGGTTTAGGTCCACGGGACTGTAGACAACCCCCTGATCATGGCTGCAACAGGAAACCTGATGACGAATCGAAGTGATGAAAAATATGAATGGCGGCCGAAGAGATGAGAGGTGAACTCTGAGGTCAAGGTGTGTCAGATCACACCATCAGTCACTGTTCAAGCCAACATGGACTTAATGAAAGGAGGCAACAAATCATAAAAAGAAGTGACTGGAATTTTCCATCATGCATATTGAAAAGCCATGAAGCTTCTGAAAGAATGTCCTTTGGACAGATGAGCCAAAACCGGAGATTTGTGGCAACAAGTCCCATCAGCTTCATGTTCATAGAGCCAGTAATAAAGCAATGTGAAGAACCCTGAAACATGGAGGAGGCTCAGTTTGGGTGAGTTGCAGGTCATGGATCCTCCAACAGGATAATGAGTCAAAACTAACAGCTAAAGATACTAAAGAATGACTCATAACAAAACTATTCTGAAATGAAGTATGCTGAAGCCCTGATCTAAATCCTGTTGAACATCTGGAGCTGAAACGTGTCGTCTGGAGCAGGAACCCTTCAAACCTGACACATCTGGAGCAGTTTGATCAAGAGAAGTGGACCAAAACACCTGAGGACAGGTGCAGACGTCTCAGAAAGAGCTACAGAAACATCTTGACTGCAGAGATTAATTCAAAAAGTTGTGCAACAAAAGATTCAATTAAGAGTTTTGTCTCTGCCTGTTTCATTAGTTTTTTTATTTTTTTATTTTGATGAGCCAAAATTCAAAAGCAAAATCAATTTTTTATTAGTTTGTTTCAATCATTTTTTTTCTTTTTTTGCTTTTTATTATTTTTTGTCAGTTTCAAGTGTTTTCAGTGACTGTTGTGGTTTTATTTCCTTTACTTCCTCAGCCGAAGGGGAAAGAAACTGATCTGTTTGTATGTTGAAAATGCAGATGTTGGTCCTAATTTTACTGCAAACTTTGTTTGTTTTCTAAGTTTTAAATAGTTACATAAAATTAACATTTGAGATGTTTTAGATCTGCATCAACGTTTATTTTTTATTCTCCAGATAAATTTCTAAAGATGTTTGAATGTTATACCACAGTCAGTACATTTTTTTTAGATTGAGCTAATTTGTGCAAAATCTGTCGAAACAAACTATGGGGGATTTTAAAAACAACAACCAAAATGTTAAAGAGATAAAAGCCTAATCCTATATTTTCTAAGTTTTGAGCAACATATTTGTATATTTTAAATTTATGGCATTGCATATATGGTAAATCTTTACTGAGCAGAAAAATCCTCAAGAAACAAAATTCTTCTGAGCCATTTACCGTGATGGACTAGAAGTGTGTGACGGTCATTTTCCTCTCCAGAGGCGCAGCTCTCTGCTGGTTGTACGTTTTTTTCACAGTTTGCTGTCATTTTTAAATATATTCTCAGGCTTTAGGGATGAATTCTTTGAGCAGAGCAGAAAATTTAAGAGAAGAATGAAAGAGTAAAGATCACATTTAAGTCCTATTTGTTCAGATACTTTAAAACAATGCATGCAAATATTTTTGTGTTTCTTTTTTACTCTATTTTGAGACCGACCAGTGAGTCTTTTGCATCTACGAAAAACAAATTTCAAGGAATTTCAAGCGTTTCACTTTTTTTTTAACACTGTCTAATGATATACAAAGACAAATGTATTAAATATTAAAGGCAAATGTAATCCTTTAGAAGGAATTGGTGTCAAATGGCATTAAATATAAAATGTAAATCTTAAGTTAGAAGGCGTCTTTTTAACGAAAGTAGGATTTCTCTGGAGAAAATCAGACTGACATGAAACAGGGTGATGTAAAAATATCTACCATCTACCATTATATATATATATATATATATATATATTTCAT